CCAGGTTAAATAAAGAAGAAAAAATATTACCTTGCCCATTAGTGGTGTGGCAAATCATCAAACTGTCAGGCTGCAGAATGGTTTGAACCTCTTGCTTGTGAAAAACTCTGCTGGTCACTTCACTGAAGCATGTGCCTGTTTTCTTAATGCTCATTCAATAATAAAACCAGATTTACTATCGCCCCATTGGCCCCTGTCTACCCCTGCCTCTATATTCACCTCCTCATAAGCCCCCTTTTTCCTCTTTCAGCCCATTGATGTCGCTCCGTCTTTTCTCACTGCTGACAAGAGTTTTAGTATCCACCCAGAGAGCTCTATAATTCAAATGAGCTCAATACAGAAGTGAAAAAAGAGCCCTTATTGGATGGCTTTGCAATATTGGCACTTCAGCACAAGACTGGGAGCACATTAAAAACTCCATACTCTGTACAAAATCATAAGGAAATTAGTTTCTTAAGGAGAGGCTCTTACTACGCTGTGACTGTGTGACATGCTAATTTTACACTCGCCCCCTCTATTGTGGAGATTCAGAAAATGTGATGCCAAAACTATTCAGCTAAGCAGCAAGAACCTCCAAATAAACTTGTTTCTGGGTTTGACTGAAGGTAAACATGAAGAGTCGGCCCCCAGATGAGCTGTTGTGTGGCTGCATTTGTAGGGATCTACCCCCGCCGACTAACCAAATCTCTACAACGGAGGTGGCAAGTGCAAAATCAGTCAGATTGAACAGGATATGACAGAAAGCGCCTGGATGCTACTGGCTCTGTGGGAATTGTATTTAAATTTGTGTTTGTATTTAAATAGGCAGAGGAGTGCTTTGAGCTAAATGCTAACATCAGCATGCTATCACGCTCACAGTTACAATGTCAAAATGCTGACGTTTAACAAGTAATGTTTACCTTGTTCACAGTGTGCTAGCATGCGAACACTTACAGCTGAGGCTGATGGGATGTCATTACTCTTGCAGGCTCTGCACCAAAATATTGGACAAATTATAATTTTGAGCTGATGCTGGCAATGGATGAAAAGTCAAAAGATCATCAAAGTTTCTACCCTCTGGAGAACATGAATGTCTGAACTAGATCTTATGACATGTAGCTTATAGTTGTGATCAAAGTCATTGGGAGACATTGTCTGGGAACCATGAATGTGTGTGCAAAGTTTGAGCCAATCCATCTGGTGGATGTTGAGATACTTCACGAGGTAAAGTCAGGAGATCATCAAAATCAGTAGGATTCATCCTCTGGGGACCATGAACGTCTGCACAAAATGTCACTGTAATCCACAATATATTTTAGCCTGGACCAAGAGAGTGGACTGACGAACTGTTCCTTCCATAGAGCCACACTGCTGGCATTACTAAAAAGCTTCAGACACGTCACCCTTTAAACCTAAACAACAAAACAGTTCCTTTCGAAACATATATGACCTGCTCCATTTAGTTAGTTCCAGTTAGCTGCTTCAGTTCCAGGCTGCTGGTCTCACTGTCACACCGTCATGGCTTATACTGGAACACCTTGAACAGAACTGAACTGTGCTTCTCCTCCTATGACAAGTCAAAACTGCTGCTGTGAAAGAGCTCTATTGTCTCATTATCACGCCATGTAATTGAGAAAGGTATTTTATCATCACCTTCACATAGCTCCTGCATTTTTTGCTTCAAGAGGACAATGCTTCTTGAGTGTAACTCGAGCACACCACTATCTTTTTGGACTTCCATTTTCCAAAAGAAACTAAAAAAAACAACTTCCTGTCAACTTTGTGTCTCCCACTCACCATAATTCCCCTGATTATCATCTCTCGAGTCTCACTCAGTTCATAAACTGACCTCATTCCTGCAAACTCCAGCTAATCCTCTTGTTACAGCAGTGAATGGATTTCATGACTCGGGTAATGTTTCCTCCTCCAGTCTCCTGCTTTTGTTTTGATTGAATATGGTAAATAGTTTGATATGTTGTCTTTCTTGTAATTTAAATATCTTTTCTTTCAACTTAACACCATCATTAATGGGAGTCATGACACAAAAGCAAACACGGGCGAAGTCAAATTTGCTTTTCGATCAACACGACAATTAATAAAAACCTCTTAATTCTGCAGGGACAATTTTTAATTCCCATTAAGAAATCTTTATATATTTATTTAGATGACTCCTCTTTTCTTTATTAAATAAAAGTGCAAAACAACCACAAAATTAATCTTTAATTAGGTGAATACTGTGTCAAATATACTATGACCTTCTGAATGGAGTACCCAGAGTGTGACAGTTGATGAGGCATTAATGTATCACACATGAAAAGCACAAAGAGAGCTGCAGGTCTCACATGTACAGTAATATTCATCAGCAAAATATATAAATATTCCAAAGGATCTAAATATTATCTTTCATGCAGATGCTCGTGCTCTCCTCTGGTATCACAATGGCTCTTAATGGCTTTGTGGTAAATGAGAACGCATCCGCAGAGGGATTAAAGGGAGAGAACATGCTAGACTGACATAAAAATAACTACGATAGACAGACTTTGCTCACAGCTACATGTGACATCGGGCTTAATCTCCACGCACAGCCGCACTCAGGTTGGAGGAAAGTCACAGCTCTGGATGGTCTGTTGGGTCTGTGAGAAGCCAAAGATGCTTTAAACGTTTGTGTGACTTAATGTTGTGCAATATTACTGTGTGGCCTTATATCAGCCGTGTTTGACACAGGCACAGTGAGCGTACACACTAACACACACCTTAATCCTTTAACAATCCAACTCCCTCCTCCAGTGAGTCCATCAAAAAGCACTTAACCCCTCCCAAGCTCAGCCACACGGCTGCTTTTCTCTTTGTGGCTCCACAAACTCTCAGCAGCAGCAGCAGCAGCAGCAGCAGCAGCAGCAGGCCTTTTGCTCGGCCCAGCCAAAGACAATGGCGGAGCTGCAGGGGATGGAGACGGAGCTGAGGGGGACGAGGAGGAGGAGGACGAGGGGTTTTATTTTGTTGAGGGATTTGGAGTGGTTGACAGCAGGACAGCTTTTTTGTTGTGTTTGTGTGTGTGGAGGAGGCTTATGACTTTAAAAAAAAAAGCTGCACCAGAGTCAAACAGCGAACAGCAGGGCAGGAGGTGTGTGGTTAAGAGGTAAATTGGGGGTTTGAGGGAATATGTGATAGTGATCAAGCAGCTGTTTTGCTTGAGGCTGCAGAGACCTGCAGCAGGGGAGGACCTCAAACTCAAGGTCAAAATCGAGACATTTTACTTAAAACAAATGGAGGTTTTAGTGTGGCCACTCAAGATGTGACGGCACCAAACACATTTATCATACTACGACAAGCACAGACAAAGATTAGTGCGCTCTCCAGGCTCCTGCTTCTTCTCAGGCTACATCCACATTAATACCTTTCAGTTTTAAAACGCATCACGTCTTCTTTTTTACATCCACACTTCTCTGGAGTTATCGCACCCCCTGGCTCTGTTTTAGATTGAAAACTCCAGGGTTGCGTTGTAGTGTGGATGGGCAGACACATATTGACCATCGGAAACAATGACAGTCCCTGATTGGGTCTTATCAGTCACGACTACCAGTGGTGACTCCAACATTCATAACAAAATACGAGTGTCGCCGACCTCGTTGTCTTTGTTGGCAGCTGCATTTTAACTCGCTCGTAGTATTTTTCTGCAACAAACTGAAGAGTAGACAATCTCCTTCCTTTTTACACCAGCACGTGCACGCCCAGTGCACGCGAACGGTCATGTGATAAGCGTTTTCAGGTGTGTTAACTCATTATACATTTTAACCAATCAGAGGACAGAGCGGACCGAGGCTTAACTGGTCTGAATTTATTTTGCGCTGCTCGTCACTGGCACATTAAGTAGTAAAAAATATTCATCATGAGCAGCTGTTCCTTTATCACGTGGCTCTAACAGGGTGGTTTGACCGAGAGTTTCACTCACAGCAGCAGAAATGTGAAGCAACATGCCAGCTAAACATTTATTTTGTAGTTCAGCATTATTGAACCAAGCAGACCAAGAGCCGATCTCTAATTACACTCATTACCAAAAAAAAAAAAAACAAACCAAAACAAAACAAATAAAAAGCCTGAGACGAGGTAAAATGGCATTTCAGTCACTCTCCGGCCCCGTGAGACACACACACACACACACACACACACACACACACACACACACACACACACACACACACACACACAAGGAAGCTAAGGATCAAACACCAAACCCTAAAGTTAATGGATAACCTGCTGTTCCACTTGAGCCACAAGGACAATGAAGACAACAAAAAGTAAATGTATATGTGAAAAGATGAGGAAGGAAGGACAATGTTGGTTCCCCCAGAACAAGAAGTTTCTGATCATCATCAAGTTTAAAAGTTTGAAAGCAGTTTGAGCAGCAGGTGATCTTACACTTGTACGACTTCTGGCCAAAGCGGATCCACTACAGCAATTATTAAACCATCCATTTGCTGCTCGGGAACTCATCTTGTTACGTAATTGTTCAGATCTGACCCGACAGCCTCCGTCCGCCTCTCCACTGGATAAACTGAATACACTCACCTAGAAAACATCTGGCTACTTTACATTGCATCACATTAATTTGTTAAACGTTAAAAAAGTTAAGGTAAAACTGCAGTGTACCTCACACTTAATAAATTAGATAGATAGATAGATAGATAGATAGATAGATAGATAGATAGATAGATAGAAAACATCTAAAAAGTGACTTCTGACCAAATTTCAAATGTTGCCCAAGGGAGTCCAAAAATCTCTATCTCTTTCCCTCCAATCATTCTTAGAGGTCTGACAAACCAAAAACAGTGGGAGCTTCTTCTTGTTTTCGTCTCTCTTAAAGGTACAGTACGTCCTGCAGCTTTTTCAGCCAGTAATTCATCATTTTCTGACTCATGTGTTCAGTAGATATCTGCTTCTCTCTCATCCTTCTGTTCTGCACAGTTACAGTATTTGGCTTAGGGAGGTGTGAGCTCTTATGTGGACCGGTGGCAGCTGGTTCACCTGCAGGCCCTAAAGGAGGAAAACAGGAAGGAGGAGATACACAAACAGAGGAAATGGCTTTGACCATCATGTTGAAATGGATTTGTTACGCTTCATAACAAGAAGAACGTAATGTCATACCCCTGCCGCACAAAGAAGCAGAGGTTAAACCTGGAGGGACAATATAATGGACACCAGCTGAAAATTAGCATCATGGAATAGCAGGTAATAACCATGTGAATTTAGAAATTGCTTCTTTTTTCTTTTTTTTTTTGCATCTTACTTTCACAGGAATTGTTCACATCACTGTTCATCACTGGAAATAAATCAAACCTCTTCACATGATCCAGAGCCAAAACATCAGCCTTGACCACACAGCAGTAAATCTTCATCCGACGATGCCAAACCTCAGCGATCTCTCCGTCCCGCCTGTATCCAGTGGGCACGTCTGATGGTGGGAGGTGGACGTGTTTATCTGAGTGTTCATAAAGCAGACACACTGACACATGGAAACGGGAGGAGGAAATCAGGGAGGAGAAGAGATAGAAAAAGACTTTTCCTCTTAATCAGGACTGAGTCTGACATCACTGCAGTAAAGACAGACAGTAGGAGGGTGAGAAGACACCGAGTTGATGATAATGCCATACAGGACTGACCTTGAATTCAAAATACTGGGCACTGGCCTGTCTTCATTAAGGTCAGAGGGCCTTCTTCGTCACGGTTGCGATCATAAACACATGGCTGAGGTCACGGGTAAAAGAAACCCCAATAACCGTTTCACATGGGAAACAAACACCGGCCCTGTGTTTTGTCGATTCATCCATCCGCCCCAACCTCCTCCTCACGTGGACTCTACATACTACGTCACCGCACATAGCATGAATGTGTGCAGCTAATTCCATGCCAATCCATCCAATGGCTGTGGAGACATTTCAGTGGTGACCGAGCGACCGACAAGTTTTTAATATAATACAAGAAATATCATGAGCGGAAATAATTCGTCAACACCATGACTGAGTTTTTCCACCTTGAACCAATGACAGTCTCATTAGAACAGATTCAGACAGCCAGGGTTTCATACGTCATATGACCTAAGGAACCAATCCTGTCAACTTTGCGGAGACGAGGGGTGGGGCAAAAATAAACCCGAAACCTTTTCAGTACAGAGAGCGAGAGTCTGCATTAGCACAACAGCTAACACTGTGTCAGCCACTGCCAGTTACAAGCTAACACACAACATAAACCAATAATTACGCTAATCGTTCTGATACGTCTTCTATACAGACTCCTCCTCCTCCTCTGAGTCTCTCTGATGTTTCCTCTGAACACTATTCATCTTGATACGCACTGCGTATCATTTTTTCCGGTTTATTTTAACATTGATTAAAACATGTCTGGAGGGGAACTTTAAGGCCATGTTCTCTGTGAGAAACTTTACACATTCAAGGACAAACCTCCATAAATGAGTGAAAAACGAATCAAACTCGGGATATTGGCAACAGCACCTGGAGGTGTTTATCCAGAAAAAACCCGCTGACCCACAATCAAATATACTTTCGGCTTCTTAATGGCAGAGTGTAGGAACCCTGAGGTTTGGTAATCTGATCTGAGATCTGCAGCCGAGGGGGGCGAGTTGGACTTCCATCAGCTTATATCAGGTTGTACTTGACCTGCAGAGCGTTCAGCATTTTAGCTAGCATGTTGTTAATCTGCTTAACTGAGCTTTAGAGCGAGATGGAGTTCCTCTCTCTGTTTCACACACACACACAGACCCACTTTTATCCAGTCTCACACACAAAGACACACTTTCACTGTCTCTGTTCCCCACACACACACACGCGCACACACACGCACACACACACACAGTGTTTTCATTTCCTCCCTCTCACCTTTCAGACCCTGTTACACAGTCTTATCCCCATCTGTCTCTTCTCTCTCTTTGTTCCCTCTCTCACAAACGACTGGTTTTTCAGTGCATTATTTCTACACGAGACTTTCTCTGTTTCACATTCACATGTTGGGTATTTAGCTGCACGCTGAGAACACGACAGATGAAACTACCGCACTACTACCTTTGTGTTGCTTCTGCAAACTTAAAAAAAAACCAAAAACCAAAGCTTTCATTTTTTATTTTTTGGTTAAGTCTTTAAAAACAGTGTCGTCTTTGTGCAGCTCGCAAAGAACCATTCAATTATGAAATTTATGTATTTAAAAGAAAAACCCACTCTGGTTATAGTGTTGGCAAGCCGTCTGCAGTTGGTTTTCACGGGTTCTCCAAGAGCAATATGCCAGCAAAGTGAGTTACGCAAAGAGACCTCAAGCCTGCATGAAGTCATCCGACCGTCTGTCTCGTCTGCTTTTTCACCACCGCAACAAACAAACATTTGTTTTGTCCTCAGTTTGTTATGAATGCATTCGGCTGTTGAAACACGTCCTAATAAGTGTTAAACGTCTGAATCATAAAGAGCTGATTGAGGCGGCTGCGAGCTGCGTGGAACCGCAGGGTAATAGCCCAAACAGCAGGTCTTGTGGGATGCCAGTAAGGGGCTGGAATGGCCTCATGGCTACGAGGTTCGGCTCCGTGGCTTCAGGTTTGGACGAGGGAAGAAAAAACATCATGTCTTCACCACCAAAAGAAACAAACCCGACAGTCTTCTCTTTATTTTGCTGTTTACTAATTGGCTGCTTTTCCCAAACCAGTGTAGTTGTTACGTAAAACCTATTTTACTATTGCCAATGCAACAAAAGCGATACTGTTCTGGTGTAAACATTTTATAAGCGTTATCTTCGTATGAATTAAATATTTATTGCATTTTTCTTTTTTTTTCATGTATTTAAGGTTGTGCATCATTATTATTTTGTAGATGAGCTGCATACCACCGCTCATTGTCCTTCACCTGGTGCCAAGTGTGTACAATGCAACAGTGATAAAAGTGTCTTTATGACAAATGTCTGCTACATTCATTACGGACTTTTGTGACAAGTTGTTGTGCAGGAAACTGTCACAGAAATGCTGGGTGTACAAGATGTGCTGTAAAATGTAAATTACATTTCGATATTGTTTTCATGGAACATCTTTCATTCATTCATTCATTTCATTTTTTTAATGTCAAAGAACAGTGGCGGATCTAAGACAGACTTTCCTGCCTGGCTCTCTTCTTTTGATGTGCTTTTCTATGATTCATCGTTGTGGCAAGACACGACTCTTTCCTACATCTAATTTCTTATTGATGATTATTTTCTTTCAAACATATGATTACAATGCAATATTATCCGTACTGTCAAAGACTAGTTAACACTACCTGCTTCTTTCTTTTTGAGTAAGTAGTTGGACTTCTAGTCACCTGTCACTCTAATTTGATGTTAAGATCACATCAATTATAATCAATAACCTCTCCTGGCAGGAAATATTTATGCATCATTTTGCATCATTACATGTGATTGTGCCTCATGAAAATATGTTTTGTTCTTTTGTTTTTTTTGTAAAGAAACAAGAGAAACACAGAGTGAGAGAACTTGCATCCAAACACTAATGAAAGTGGACACTAAATGAGCAGCTGACGGATGTGTCGTGTTTTGATATGAGGTCACTTTCTCCTCCACGTCAACCAGTGTCCGCGAGTGATGGGATGAGGTCACCTCTGAAAACATTTACCTTCCTCTTCACCGAGACCATTGTCATTTCCTCGACCCCGGTTTGGAATAACAACAGTAACTGTGCAACAAGAGTGAAAAAAAAATCACCTGTTAGCTGTTAGTAATTCCACTGTGTGTCCACGCGTCTCTCCTTTAGGACGGGATTGTGTGTGACGGGTGTGTGTGTGTGTGTTCCTCTCACTTAGAAATTCACAGGGGTTTTAGCTTCAGTATTATGATCCGCCAGATAATCTCTCTCTTTCTCTCTCTCACACACACACACACACACACACACACACACACACACACAAAGAGAAGCCTGTTCAGGTCCTCTTTCTGTTTTAAATGAAATCTTAAATCCTTCAGTCACACAAGCATTTTCTGACACACCAAAGTTCTTTGTTTTTTTTTTACGATCAACACTCCCACTTTGTTTTCATATAAATAGTTTATTAGTATCAGTAACATGTCAGGAGGATCTTTTCCCCTCCATTCTTAATGTGGATAACATACCTAAATAGAAACAGACAGCGATAGAAAATGAGAGGTTATAAAAATAAGAGGATATACTGTAAGTGCATATGTGAGTGTGTGCAAGTGTGTGCGAGTGTGTGTGTGTGTGTGTGTGTGTGTGTGTGTGTGTGTGTGTGTGTGTGTGTGTGTGTGTGTTCTGCTGAGGAAGAGTAAATCTTGGAGTACAAAACCTAATCCCAGTCACTGTTTGAAGAAAGGATTCCATCCAGTTTATAATCCGAGTCACTGAGCGGTTTATACCCTGGAGAAGGAACAAGACGCAGACAATAAGTCCTCCGGTATCCCAGAATCCACCTCACTTCTGCCAGTGTCCTGCATTTTCAGAATCTAATCTTTTTTCTTTTTTTTTCTCTCCGTCGAGGAATCACAGCGAGGAAACTTTCTTCGTGCCTGTGGTTCATTTCAGTTTGTCGGTCTCAGTTTGTTTTTTTGTTGTTTGTTTTTTTTTGTTTGTTTTTTTGTTTTTTGTTTTTTTGCAAAAAGCTTCCAGGTACTGTTGAGCTTCACATGAGTCAAACCTCCCAATCAAACCTCACTGGTCAAAAAATATCCCATCAAACCTTTCACAGTCACTCGCTGCCAGGTGGTGACGATGTTAGAGGCAAAAGGTGCTTGTTGTTTCCTCTCCTCCACTCCTTCATCTATCTTCCTCTCTTCACCTGATGCCTGTCGAGAGAAAGGTCGAGGTGAATACGAGGACAGATGAACTCATCTTTCTTAAACATAGCTCCTTTTCGCACCCATCACAAGATATTTTTTAGTGCTACATACAAAAACATGCAGATTTCTGTTGTAATTAAGCTCAGTTCACCTTCTCTACTCATCTAAGTTGTGAAGATTGGACCGTTTGCCAATGTGAGCTGTGCTGGATTCAGTATCTTTAAAAGTTTCAAATAAATGACGGAGCGATTCTTTGTTGACCGAGTGAGGCTGATAAAAGTCATGAAGTACTTATTGTTTTTCCCATTTAAGTCTTGATTAACGCTGAATACTGTATAATGTCCAAGAGTGCATGAGAACAGAAAGTCAAGATATTAAGTTTGGGCTTCCCTTTAATGTAAAGCATTTTGCTACATATTCACAGTTTCATGCAGTTGTTCTCAATGAAAATCAGAAATATAGAGAGACAGCTGGTGTGATTATTACTGTATGTCTGAATTGGGATCATCTTAATTTTAACAGTGGCTCATTCAGCACTTTGTGGTTAATTAGACAGATTTTTTTTGTGTGCTGCTGCAGCCTTTACGTTAAGTTGATGACGTTGTTATTTGAGAAAGTGAGCCGTGCGCTTCATGAATGACTTCCATCACATTTACACTCAGATGATGTTGATGTGACCTACAGAAAGTCAGCAGGAAATCACATGGCTGCTGCGGAGACTGACCCTTTGACCTCTGGATTACAGGACACTCCTGCAAGCCCTCCAGTGTAATATCACCTGGACTGATGTCATTCATTGTGTGATTTACAGTCAGATTCACTGTAGAAAAAAATTGTTGTTATTGCTATGAATGGATTTGTGCATTTTGTTCAGAGTGAGTAGACAAGTTTGTATTTAATGTCACAGATGCAAAGCTTCAATTAATGACCAGGCTACACAGACATTTCTGATGTTGGTAGCTGGCTGAGGTCCAGGAGAGAGATTTGTGTAATAGGGAGCAAGGTGTGTCGGTGTGTGTGTGTGTGTGTGGGTGTGAGGGGGTGTTTGTTGGCCTGAGGGAGGACTTATTCAGGCAAAGAGGAAAAACACAGTAAATACTTCAGATCTCTTATCAGCTTATTTTGGTGTCAGTAGACACATTCAGACAGGAGCAGCCTTCACATGTGAAATGAGCCAATGCACGCGCACACACACACCCACCCACACACCCACCCACACACACACACACCCACACCCCTACACAGCCACACATACACACAAGCAGCTGTATGCTCACCATTGTCTGTGTCTGAGTTTGGGCTGATGTGGCGTTTGTTGGTGCACATGCAATCGAGGTGATCCTCTAGCTTCACCTGCACCTCCCTCAGCTTGGGACGCCTCCGCACGTACTCCACCTTCGCCACCTGAAGAGAACGAGAGAGAGAGAGAGAGCGAGCGAGAGAGAGAGAGAGAGAGAGAGAGAATCAGATGAAGGATGTAAAAAAGTTTCAAATACCGAAAACACCAAAGTATGAGGAATGGAGGAAACAGTGTTTTTATCTGCTGTAACGGGAGCTGCAAACGCCTGGGGAAGTTCTCGCTCCAGCTGGAGACAGTGTTTTCAAGGAACTCATTAACCAGCTATAGCTGATGAAATCCACCAGCAACCGTCAACTCAGACAGCAAAGTCAACGGTCGCTGGCCAGAAATGAGAAAGCTGCTTCAGTGTACCTCTGCCTGAAATCAACAACCTACTGTTTCAAAAAAATCCCTACTCATGTCAGGAAACTGCATGTGCGCTGTGCCAGAACAGACAGCTTGACCGACCTAGCAACAGTAACCAAAGAATGAAGTGTCAAATAAAGATATTGATTTGGTGCAGTTTGGTGATCCTGCAAGAAATGACTAAGGGAGCGTCGAACGTTGAGCAGCATTTCAAACTGAATGCTAAAAGATGAAAAAATGTATTACATAAGCGCTACAGACAAAGTGCCTCTTGAGCTTGATATCTCCAAACGACAACTATTCTCTACTGTACCTGTGTAAACACACAGGTGAGTCTGCTCTTGTTTGGATGAAGTAGAGCATTAACGCTGCCAAGAGGTTTGACTTCACTGACACTAAGCGAGGCGTGTTTTGTTTTTGTATCACGACACGTCACACTCGCTGCTAACTCAGAATGTCTGAACCTACTCAAACAGCAGCAGGTCTGTCTTCATCTTACACACACACACACACATTTATAAACAGAAACCCGTGACCACATGCAAGCGTCCTGTAAACATACAGAAACAATGGTACACACACACACACACACACACTACATGCTGATGCTCACATGGAGGACAAGGAGCCAAGTCAGTGGAGCTTCAGGTCTGATTGCAAAACATCTCTGCTTCAAGTCTGAACAGACTCAGACACCGATGAGCAGAGACTGAAAAACACAGAGGTTCAGCTGAGGTGAGGAGCTAAAGCACCCAGCAGGCTTTAACATACACGACTGCGTTTTAAAGGGGAGAGTCCTGAGACCCTGTGAGGGGCTGCTCGAATTCAAAATCTCACTCTTTTATTATCTAAAAACCCCTAAATGTGTTTAGAGCTGTTCCCTTGAAGGTGGGGGGCAGAAATCTTGCATAGACAGGGACGAGATGCAATAACCATTCAATTGGGGATCACAGTGAATACCTCAGGTTGTGGTATGAGGAATGTTAAAGAGGGAAAAAAAGTGTGTAAGTTGCCTTACACACCTGGCCCATCACTGGATGAACTGGGCCGTCTCTTAGTTTGTCAGTTTTAGAAAGTGACAAAAATATTTGAGGGAAACTCAGTCACAGTCTGACATCGGACAAGGGGACGGGAGTTCAGGTGGATGATGGGCATGATGAGCCCTGTGTGTTTAAAGTTCAGGCACCAAGACATTTGCCTAAGATTAGGGAAAATTTGTGGTTTTGTTAAATGTCCCAAAGACTTGACCAGCAGGATTTGGATCAAAAGGTCGTCGGTTCAATCCCTGCAGCAGCAAGATACATCTGGGTGGGGAAAGTGCATATTGAACTCTATATGAAAGTATTTAAGGGGACAGGGCCGCTGGGTTGGAGGGCTGGATGCAGATCAACTGACTAACCAAGAGCCTTCCCTTCAGGTTCAGGTCACCAAGATAGTCTGGTACAACACCCGCATCCAGACCAACGTTGTAACAACCCGCTTGTCTATCACACACTCCAACTTACACTTGCATGTGCAAGACCCTGAGACACTTGAGGCAGTAACTTGCTCCAACCTGAAGGGCCAATCCATCATTATCCAGAGTACAACAGCCTCAGATTTGGAGGTAAACACTCTCACCTCACCTGCTTCACACTCACAGCCCGATACGGTAGCAGTGAGGTTAAGACTCTAATGCTAATGTTATTTTTCTTTCTCTCTCTCTCTTTGTCTCACATATGGACACCCCAGCTAAACCTTAGCCCTGCCATATCCCCTCTGGCTGTGTGCGAGTCCATCTTGCAATCGTGACCGTTTACCCTCTGAACGCTGGATCTCAGCACATGTGAGTGACTTTATTTTTGATTTCCTCTGTAAGCAGACGAAGGACGGGTCCTTTCATCTCAGATTGTGTATCAGCAGGCCAAAGCACAGAGAATCAAGTTCGCCCTCTCCTCCTCTTTCTCCACTTTTATACCTCTTGACCTCTGGCAACACACACTAATTCCTATTCTCATTCCTCCATCATTCACTCTTCTTATTGTCCACTCACTCACTCTCAACGCCTGCTTTTTAATCTTACTTATCTTTTACATGTAGGCCCAGTTAAGAGTTTTGTCTAATTAAACACTGGTAACATAGTTCAAAATGTCTTTTCCACGAGCATAATTGAAACTTCCATAGTAGTGATGGTGAATCCATAAATCAACCTGTGCGATGACTGTGCATCATCCTGCGCAGACACATGCTACATGCACTAGTTAATGTTATGTTCAAGATTTAAAAGTGCATCTTGGATACCTTTCCTGTGTGCAGAACAGCCCCACCTACCCAACCCACACACACCCACACACACACACACACACATACACACACACACACACACACATACACACACACACACACACACATACACACACACACACACACACAAACACACACAAACACACACAAACACACACACCTTGGTTCAGCTTCCCGTTGGCAGGGTGTGACTGTGAACCAGTTGGGATTTAGTGAGTCTTATTTCCAGCTCTGGCAGAGATCAAAAGGAAGCTATTATGTTCTTGAAGTAACTCACTGCCAGACTCTCCGTCACCGACACACACACACACACACACACACACACACACACACACACACACACACACAAACAGCAACACAATAGTCAAGCTAGGGAGAGTAATTGTTTTTGGCAGGTGTGGAGTGTATACCTCCAGTAGTAAGTGGTTGTGTGTTTACATGCCATCATTAGTTCTGTGTGTGTGTTCAAGGTCGAGGCCACTAAAAGACAAATAACAAAGGGCTTTTACAAAATGTTTGTAGAGTGATTAACGGTGTTTACGAACAACATGCCAACATGTCGAAATAGTGAGAATAAAAGTTTAGAAAATTACATTTGCTTCCTCTACTGTCTTTTTGTTTGTTTTTGTTTGATACTTTCATACTATTTATGTTTGTATGTATCAGTTTATCTCACCACAATAAATATATAATCAGATTTATGATTATGAAGTGAGCAGGGCTGTAGGTTAATTGTCTGTACTGCTGGTTGGGCACAAGAATCTATGTCAGAAAAAGACTTAGGTATGATTGCTCATATTGGTATTTTTGATAGGAGGTTCTTCCTGCACTGGAACAAGCTTCAGATGAAAATAAAGTTAGTTTTAAAGCTACAACATGCAAGTTCTGGAAATCAAACTAGCGCTAGAATGAGACTCAAAAGGAAACCACTCTGTTCCTCCCACCCTTCCTTCTCCCGGCTCCATTATAATCGTTGTTGTGTTGCTGTCTAAGCTAGTGCAGGTATGGGAGGTTGCTAGCCTGTAATAGTAATACTGTTATATTAGTTATAATACTAGCATGAAGCTGGTATTGGCTAGAATTTTTCTTATAAGTGTTTGTACCAAACTTGACCAAAGTCCCTCAAGGTGTAACTGAGCTATCACGTTCATGAGGCCAAAACCATGTTTTGTAAAAGTCACCATGAGCTTGACCTTTGACTTTTCACCAAATTCCCAAAAGATTCTTTCGATGTCAACACATTTTCAAACATGTAGAGCAGAAGCATCTTTTTGTTTTGTACCTTGACCGTGCGGTGGTGCTTGCGGGACGCCTGGCACCGCATGTTGCTGGTGTTGCAGCAGCCAGTGCAGCGTTTCACCTCGACGCAGGGCGGCCAGATGATGAAGTTGGCCGAGGTGGGGTCCACCTGGCTCCTGGGGATCTCATAGATCGTCGTCCGCACCTTACACACCGCTGGCAAGGCCTCTTCCACCACTGGAGGGGAACAAAGAGGTCAAAGGTTATAGAAGTTTGGCATGAAACAGACGTTAGACCCAAATATCACTTCTACCCACCTGCTGTTCCATCTTCTATACTAGAGCGATGGAGAACTCCTAGTGCTATGCTAAATTACAAATCAACATGAAAATGTACGATTTATATTGATGGATTAGATTCTCATCGTTTTATTCATTTTTAATTCACGTAAGATTATACAACTGAAATCTAAAAAACATGGCATCTCCACGGCAATGGGTGTTAAAGGGTTAACATTTTATTACACAGGGTATTATGCAAATGATGTCAATGTGAAATAAACCAACTTTTTGTGTGTGTGTGTGTGTGTGTGTGTGTGTGTGTGTGTGTGTGTGTGTGTGTGTGTGCGTGTGTGTGTCTTACCAGTGCTCCTCCTGTGTCTGGTGGGCGTGTGTGCTCTCTTCAGGTCAGGGAAGCTGTGAGAAAAGTCCTTGTGGTAGCGGTGTTTGGTCTCCTCGATCACCTCGTTCTCTGGGCAAAGACAAAACAACACACACACATTCAGACATCACACACGCTCTCACTGTTAACAAAACCATTCAAGAATATTCCCAGATCCTTTAGGTCAAACTCACCGACACACTGAGACTTGTTTGAAGGAAAAATCACATGTAAGAAGTTCATTTGCTTGGAAGCATGAACACTTAGAAAATGCCAAAGATATATCCTCATAAAACTGAAAGAAAATTTGGTGTAAAAGAAGATGAAGGGGTCTCCTGAAACATTAGATCTCCTCCTCTTGGGACCATTCATATCCACATTTAAACTATGAAAATCTTACAATAAATTTCAAGACATCTTGATACAGACTAAAGTGTTGATCAAAGCAAAAGAGGAAATGGTTATTGAGACGTTGCGATCACTGACCGACCAACAACAAACAAAATAAAAAAAGTGAGAAGAGTAGGATGTTTAAGTTGTTTGTTGCAGACATCTTTCAGGTCTCTCCTGATCAGAGCTTAACCTGGTTATTCTAACTGAGTTACGATGTTTATACGTGTCAACGGGTTACTGGGTTCTCTGTAAGTAAACGTAGCAGGTGAGACCTAATTCACATAAAGACACGGATACACACACACACACACACACACACACACACACACACACACTGCATCAGGAGTTCACTGAGGTCACTCGTGGGTCAGACAGAAATCTATGGCAGAGAAAACGTTGTTTTGTTCAGCCAGGACTCAAATCACTTTAAATCAGAGTCTTTGCTTTCTTGAGTGTTTAGAAACTTTCCTTCTTTCTGAGTGTTTGTGTGGAGAGTCAAACTGAACTTTTATCTGAGTTTGATGCATCTGTGTTGCTTATCTCTGTGGTTGGATGTTGCCTATCCAGCTTTAACTCAGCTCACATAAAACAGTAGTGGCAGCATAACATAAAATGTATTATATAAGTAATATATGGAAGTCTGATGATAAACTGACTCATCCTGAGCAGTGAACAGTTTGTTTGCAGTTTCATCTGTTTTTTTTGTTTTTATCTAAACCAGAAATATTTATCTATAATCTTAAAACTCACGATAATCTAAACTCAGTCCTCACAGTTTCTATAATACCAGTTGACAGGTTGTGTTTCACATTCTTCCTTAGCATCATGATGCGACTTGAGTGTTTGTGGTCACATAATCGTATTATGAGGACAAAAACCTGTTCAAACAGTCACATTGTGGAAGCTCCCCTCCCATCTGGGGACAGAACGAAACCTTTTATTTTAGAGTTAGGACTTGGTTATAGGAGGATGAATGTAAATGGTGATTGTGTGTATTTCACAGCATAAATAAACAGAAGGAATCTGAGTAGTTGTAGAGTGCAGTCTCTGGTGACGCTCCCAGTCCATTCATTGACTATTATGCTTTAATTAACAGCACATACACGAATAAATTAATCTTCAACCTCGACAGGCTGTAAAATCCAAGCTGATGCTTATGTTTCGTTTAGAGATGGCTGATTTTACCCATGACAGCAGGCACGTTTTTTTTTTTTAAACCAAGCTCCGCCTCTGTGTGTTTGTACATCATGAGATGTTCTATTCAAGTGTTTCTTTCTTTATGGTGTTCGCGGCTTCATCAAACCATTTCAGTCCTCAACACTGCCAAACCAAACGATATCCACAGACTATTCAGAGGAAATAAGTTCTGACCAAAGATTATGTGTGTGTGTGTGTGTGTGTCTGTCTGTGTGTGTGTGTGTGCATGTGTGTGTGTGAGAGAGAGAAAGATCCCTGGAAATCACCATAAACGAGGTATTGGCAGGACTGTTTTTATTTGATAGTGAATACCAAACCTCACACTTCTTTTCGAGATTGTGTGTGTGAGTGTGTGAGTGCACCCGTCACTCTTAGTGCCTTGTGTGTGAGCAAGCAGTCACGCACACACGCCTGCCTACATACACAATGTGCTTCTGAAACCCAACAAAGTCCTCCTCCGACATCTCCGTCTCTCTCTCTCTCTCAGTCTGTGCATCTCTCGCTCGCCCTGACATGCAGGAATTTGAGCATGAATTATACATAGCAACACAGCAGCCTTCCAGCGAGCCCTGCTCTCAAACCAATAATGGGCAGCATGACAACAGCATAATGAAGTGAGCCACTTGACCCCCACCGAGCCGGGGAGCCGTCACACTCGACATTTGCATCTCAATGATGCCAGGATTAATGGTGGCACCGCTCAGAGCCGCAGACATTAAAAAAATGAATCAACTATTTTTCACAGGCGACGAGTTCAGAGCAAAAGACAAGTTTCTGTGGCAGAAATTTAAGAGTCTGACTCAAGGCATAGATTCAATTAAGCCTGTTTTATGCCACAGTTATTTCCTCCTTTTTCACCTCGCTGATTCAGTGTGTTCTGATTTATTACCTTGATAATGAGAACTGGCATCTACTGTTTACTGAAGGCAAGAGTTGCAGCCAATTCATTAAATAATGTTTGTTTCATTTTACATTTTTCCCTTAACTTGAATCTAACTGCTCTCTCCAGCTAACTACAATGCTTCAGATGAGACGGACAGAGATGTCACATTTTTTAAAATGAAAAAAAAAAAAAAAAAAAGTTTTACAAGGGATTTTTTTATGGTTCAGAGACTCTTTTTTTCCTTCTGTGAGTGTCATGTATTTGACGGGCAGCAGAGGAATAATGTGTACTTTGATATGGAAACGTTTATGGGAATCAAAAACACTGTTTCGTGTAAGCTGTTTCTTTAATTTTAACTGAGTTAATGGCAGTAAATGCGTTCGTTCCTCTGACTGAAAAAAATTAGGCAATTGCTCTAAATATTCAGACTCTCTGGTGACACCAGCAGGAAGTTCAGATACAGAGTGAAAACTAAGACCATCAACACAAACTAACGGCTAAAGTTGTAGCATTGCACTTCCATAAAGTTTGAGGACTTGCAAGGCGCCATTTTAAAAAAGAATGGTCAAAATCAGTGCTGCAGCGTTGTCCTTAGTATAGGTGAAGCTCCAACACACTACAGTTCCCATAATGCAATTGCCTCTTTATTAGATCCTCCATGCCTAGTAAATGCTCACAGCTTTAAAACTCCACACCATCTGAGGTTTCTAATGCAGGCATCCCTCCAAAAACCTTTAGTTCCAAGTCCAAGACCTGACACCTCTGCTGACATCACTGTGACATCATGTTTTTTTTTGTTTTGTTTTATACTTTAACCACAGAAGACATTATGCTATTATTCTGACTTCACATAACCAATAAACTGGTTTTTAAGCACAAAACTGGTAAAAACATTTTCTTCACAAATGTACAACTCATTCCTCGCTTACGATTAACAGCATCTGATAAGTCAAAGTAAACTCAGAGGTCAAGGATGGTGCAGAGATCAAGACTCCAGTAATGAGATGAGAGGACAGCATCCTCTCACTATGCAATCAACAAGATGCAACTAATACCTCAATTCAGTCTTTCAAGAAACAGACAGAAAGGGAAGCAGCAGCCCTGACCAGCACATGCAAGTTTGTCAGCCAGTGACACACTCTGCATCCACCTACACCACTTTGTGTTCTTTCCGGCTGCAAGATGACTTTGATGCTACACACATTTTATCAATGGGCTTTTACTTTGAAAAACAGCGGAGTAGGTGCTTGTACATTGTGCTCATGTAATATCCACAAACGTCATATGAACTGAATTTTCTATGCTTGCTGCATAACTTAATTTTACAGTAATTCTCTAATCCAGCTCTTAGGAGTGAGAGAGTTGTATTATAATGAAGCGCTTTACCTACGGAGTCTATCTCTAGCAGCCGCTGGAGGTCGCTGATGCTGCGGATGTCGCTGCGGGAGAGCCGCTCCAACAGCTCCCGGGGGAGAGGAGACTCCTGCGGGGAGAAAGTCAACGAGACAGCCGTTTTACTGGGTATGGAGTTAGGAAGCTTCGCCTGTTGGTGCGCAAAAGGACACAGATACATACAGTCATCACAAATCTGAAAACAGCTCCACAAAGCCGGTTAAACCGACAGCAACGATGCCTAACTGAGCCAAGGACAGTAGAAACACGTGCGTAATTACGCAGACATCATTTTAATCCGTTGCATTATTTTTCTCTTTGAGTTGCAACAAATGTCTACCACATCTGACTGCAACCAGCAGCATCTATCAACCACCACACACTTTCGCCCGGTTTACCTCAGCGACGGTGCGTAACAGGCAGAGGCAGCCGGCGAGGAGGTGGTAAATTGCGGGTCTCATCTCCTCTCAGATCCGCTGCATAGGCACCAGGACGAGGCGATGGTCCACTGCAGGAGCTGGGCTGTCGCTCCCTGGCCTCGGGAGCCCAGAATCATCCCTCGGGAGAACTGGCCACCACCACAGCCTCAGTAAAAGTGCGAGCCAGGAGCTTATAAAACTTAAATGATCTTTAAACTCCTGAGTGAAATGCGGTTGAGGCAGAGACTCAAGCTTATTCTGCTCCTGCATTCAGTGTAAATCACTGGAGGTGTGAGAGAGGTTGATTTCCAAAGTAATATTAAAATGACCATAAAGCAGGTTTAAGTCCAAGTCATCGAACAATGAAACCTAACTGAGGTAAAGTTGATGTCCAGCTGCTCTTCGTGTTGGAACAGGTGTCCAGCGGAAGAACGAAAACTTTTCTTTTACATTCAAACATCCAACAATATCCATCATTTTGTCCTCAGTATAATCCGTTCCAAATCAAATATGTGTGTATCCTGCAGCGGTTGAGCATCTTGGCACTTTGTCTGGGCAATTCATCAAAATTTGTTAAATCCTTTAATTTGAAAATTCCAGAAATGACCTGAGCCAAAAAAAACGAATGGCGTGAAAGAGCGAGAAAAAAAGAGAAAAAACTCTCAGACCTCAGGCCCAGAGGAGTTTGATGTCCGCTCCCCGCGGTCGTGTGATCTCCGGGGTGAATGAAGTCGAGATGCTTTCAGTCACAGGATATAGCTGTGCGCGTCCCCGTGGCAGTACACCGAGAACGCGCTTTGCATAAAAGACGACAGAACATTGTAGACAGGCAGCAAACTACAGGAAACAATCACAGCTGTATTACAACTGTAATAAAAAAAAAAATAAAAAGTCCTGATGATAATGATAAACTTTAATTTTGTACATCACTAAGGACTGAGCCACAAGTAATAACTAATAATTAACTCTCTTTGTGGAGGTTAACTCATAGCCTACCTAGAAAAACATTTTGTGAATAAGTTGCTCAGAAAGTCAGTGGCCCCACTTCTCCCCTAAATTATCCTCCTCTCCTCTGTGTGTGTGTGTGTGTGTGTGTGTGTGTGTGTGTGTGTGTGTGTGTGTGTGTGTGTGTGTGTGTGTGTGTGTGTGTGAGCGGTAGATTAGTGACCGTGTCAGTGTTTAATTGCTGTGTAATAAAGCTCATTAATGAGTGTCCAGACAGGGAACTGACTGCCCTGAGAAAAAGAGGTAGAGAGAAAGAGAGAGAATTTTGTTGGAGTTATATGCAAGGGTCAAGGGTTCACCAAACTAAAATTCATCACTTACAACAGCTTTTCAAGTGGTGTGTGAACAGGAATCTCTGGAACCCACGAAACAAAGAAAGGATGGATGCAAAACTGCGGACTAAATGTTGGCGGGTCACACACTTTTGAGCCAGCTATTGACAGCGTGAATAATGACTGTTGTTTCTGAGAAGCAGAAGCAGACAGACGTTGACTGTTGTTCGCATCCTGACTTACACCAACAGTAAACTTTGCTTTTTTTTTTTTTTTTACCATGACCAAAAACTTTCCCTAACCTTAACCATGTCGTTTTAAGTTGCCAACCCTTCCAAGCCTTATAAACTGAGGAGGTGGTGGAGTGGGTGCCAAATTAGACAAAGCTTGCATTGGTCGCACTGGAAGGTAATTATTAACAACTTGTTTTGTAATGTAGTTTTGGGAACTTGTTGACATCACCACTCAGCATAATAATAATTTAAAGAAATGAAAGGAAATCAATATCTACATCAAAAGTAGCCAGTCAATCTAAGGAGTTGTGGTACACTTTGTGTGGTTATGGATGGCAGTGGTGTTATGGTCGTGCAGTTTGTAGTTAATGACCATAACCATGCAACACCACCGGTATGGTCCTTTAGTGTGTGAGAATCTGTGACACGAAAAGCAGTTTGCATTCATCCATTTCTTAGTGAAGCAAATTGCTGAGGGAATGTAAACGACTTCAACAGAGCTAAAGCTTCATAAAGCGGCGCTGGAATCTGGAAATCCAGCCTCAAGCATTCAAACAAGCACGTACACATTTACTCTCCCTCTGTCTGTCTCACTTTCTCATGCACAAACACACACATGCACGGCTGTTTACACAATATCCTTAATTCAACCATACACATGTAGTTATTTAAAATGAGTTAATCTGACTCAGTGTTACAGGTTCCTGTGAGGACACATAAACGAGAGCTAGGGAGGGGAAAAGGCGAGAAGGGAAAGTAGGAAGGGAAAGAGGAGGGGAAAGGAAACTGTGAGAGAGTGAGAGCAAGAGAAGCAGAGATAAGAAGCTTGTTGATACCAAGATGAAGCCTATTTGGATGAAAGAAGATGACAGTGGGGCGACTGAGCGCATGAGTGTGTAGAAAATCCAGCCTGTGTTGGACCAAACACTCCCCCAATTAAAGCCCATTTATCCTGACAGAGGCTAATACCATCACAACAGAAATCCACCTCTGTCTTTCTCCCTCTCTCTCCCTTCATTCCCCCTGAACAGCTTCAGTGCACCCAACACACACACAACACCACACACCACACAAACACAACAACACACACACACACACACACACACACACACACACACACACACACACACACACACACACACACACACACACAGACAAAGAACCGGAATGATGGAGGGGAAATGGGTCAGAACCGATTTGGATTTTGAAAGGCCACACTCGTGCCGTGACGCTGCTGTCACTTCCTCCTGGCAGCAGCTTCTCCTGTGATGCATCCCACTCGTTCTGTTCTGTCTTCTTTTTTTTCTTCTTCTCTTCTGTTGTTTGTTGTTCTTTGGGCCGGTTCCAGCTCCCTGCTATCAAGCTAAAGTGTGACAGTGTTACAGACAGAGAACAGAAACATTTAGTGCAACTTCGAAAATGCACCGGTAACATTTTATGGGAAAGTCAGTTTTTCTTTAAAGCCCTGGTCACACCAGAAACACACTCTCAAGACAACTTCCGATGGTATAAAGCAGGATCCACAGGTCAGTGTTCACCAAGGGTTAATGTGAAAAATTTGTGCAGATTTGTTTTCTCCCAGCAAATTTATCCATTGATTGTGGCCATTGAAATCTCCAAATCACTCCTTCACTAATTCCTGCACAATATACACTCAGTAGATGAATCTATAGTAAGCAGTAAATTAAGATTCTAGATACTCACAGGAATAGAGTTGCATGTTCGTTTTTGCATCTATAAAATGCGAGACACTGCATTGTTGGAGTGTTACCAAAAAACAAAAACATACTATAAAATTCAGTGGACGCTACTTTTCTGTTCCTTTTTCGGGATCTTTAACGGCACTAAATGTGAATAAATGTCACAGTTTGACACTCAAATACTGTAAAATTGTGGATAGTAAATATAGTGCAGTATATAGTAAATAGTGGGTGATTTCTGACGTAGCTTCTGTGAAAAAAAATGAGGCAATCCCAGTAAAAATGTTTGCATCGCACGTGTTGGTGTGCATCGCTCTCTGAAACATTGTCCTTTTTGATGTTTCCACTCGGGGTGTCAAAGTTGTCAATTCAACACATATGGCCTTTAAAAGTTTTGTTTATGCTAAAAATGTTCTATGTGTTTAGATATTTCAATTTTATTGTGTAAGGTATCAGTCATCACTAAATTAAATTTTTGATTTAACTTTAATTCAACATTGGTATTGTTTTTATATATTTTTTTATTTGTTTTTTTTTACTCTAAGTGAAAATTGAAACTGTGTGAGCCTTTCATTGTGTTTAAAAACCTAATAGTTACATTATGAAACACTCCATATGGTCGTCAAGATAAAAGTAGTTTTTCATCCAAAAAAAGCTTTATACAGTCTCCTCCTCCTCCTCCCCCTTTTTCTCCCACATAAATTTCCAAGTGGAGTAGATATTTTATAGTAGTCTATTTATAACAAGCCAGGGAAAAGCTTGCTGTATCACATTTTGTTTCTGGTACAACTTTTCCAGCTCCTTTCCTGGAAGCACACTGACATACACACAGTTTGCACCATACTGGGGTTTGGGGACCTTGCTCAGGAGCACTTCAGCAGCGTCTGGCACAGTCTATGCCAGCAAAAGCTTTCCCACCAAACATACTGTCCTGTGGGAGAGGGAAATGCCACCAATGGGAACAGAGTAAAATGAAAATATAACAGTCAGATTTTGGGAGGAGGGTGTGGGAGATATGAGCAGCAATAGAAAAAAAGAGAGTGTTTAAGAGACATAGAGGCAGTAAAAGTTAATCCAGCAAGGGATAAAAACTTTTACGAGCAGGGTGGGGGTTAAGGGCTATCCCCGAATTAATTCACAAAACCAAGCACATGGTGGAAAAAACCCTTTATACACAATTTTCCCTCCCCTTCTCTATTCAATCCAGCCAACATTAATTATTAAAGCCTTTTCGAAAGAAAGTCAGAATGGATTTCACCGTTAAACCCAGAGTAAGTCCACTATTGGACACCTGCCAAAACCTATTGTGCGAAGCATGAATGTTTGGTCATTGGCCAACTGCAGATTTATCCTGGATTACCATCTCAAATATGCCGGCATTTACCTATATGTAATGCTACCCCCCACACACCCCACCCGTCTGTTCATCACAGGCCACAAGGCTCGGAGAGAATGCTTTATTTAGGTCTGTTTGGGAAAGAGAAAACACAGGGCCCTTGTGCTGGTAGGACTCGTAGTAATGAAGACAGAGAGTCATCTTAACGGGACGGGGCATACAGTAAGTGCCGGACCTCCCACCAATTTGATTCAGATCTACTATGCATTAAACACTGGCCTGGAAAGCACTACGACAGCTCATTCTACAACAAATGTTGCATACATTTCTAGTTTTAATACTTAACTAAAAGATATAATATTGTTTCTCAATCTGTATGTTTGCTGAAAAACACGTGGAGATAGAGAATCATGAGATACAAAAATATTCTTAGATTTTACAGGAAAAAGAAAGACAGGGATTTAGTTGTAAAAAAAAAAAAAAAAAAAACATTGAATAAAGAGTTTTTGACTCATTGTGCATATAACGAGATAAATGAATGACTTCACTATGTAATATCAAAGTAGGTATTTCCCTTAGCTTTTAAAAGGCAAAAACATTTCTGCAATAACACTGACTGGTGCACGGGCATCCGATAAGTGAGCAACAGGCCGGAGGATGTCGTCCTTCTGATCGGATGATTAACCAGTTACATTCCAGAGTGGCTGAGCTCAAGAGAAACTGAACTGTGTGATTCAGCTTCAGTGTTAAACTCTTATATTAAA